ATTTTATAAAATTCACCAAATAATCTATAGTATTAAAATAAATCCAAAAACTCCCTACTTCTTGCAAATTAAAATAATATCGATGACTTATAGTTAATTATCAGAATTAATATTTATATTACGAATTATTGTAAAAAAAAACGTTTATTGCAACTTTAAAAAAATCTCAGCTATTACCAATTAAAAACAATTAAAAAAAGTATATCAGTATATTTCCTTATTATCAATTTTATTTAATATTTTATTTATTTTTTCTAGAGAAAACATGCAAATGTTTATAATGAGTATTTAGAATATGCAAAACAAAAGCGACATGGTGTGGAAAATACTTCCGTTATTGATAGAAAGCGCTGGTCGTGTGTTTTAAATCAAGAAGAATTTGAGCAAAATATCACAAATTTTGTATTAAAGTATATGATACCATTCAGAGCGGTTGAAGATCCGTCTTTCAGAAAAATTTTTAATGGTACGTATAATTATACAGTTATAATATTTTTAATAAACTGAAGACTGCCGCAAAATTCTGATTTTGTCAGCCCAACTTATCACCTATTTGCTTTACAGATTTCAAAATAAAGAGAGGTGATACTCGGTTGAAGCACTTGACATGTTACTCTTTGGCAAAAAGAGTCGACAGAAGTTTTAAGGACAATGTTACAAGAAATTGGTGACGCAATGAGTTCGGTGATCAATGGTGGTGGTTTTGTTTGTACTACGGCTGATGTATGGACAGGAGGATCACGCAGATATCTAGGTGTCACAGCTAGTTGGGTAAACAATTTCATTGATATGATATATACAATTCAATATAATCTTATTTGAAATATAAAATTATAGAGAAATAAATTCGGGGCACGTACAGTCAAATTACTTTTTCAATTACATAACTGGATGTTTATCATAAAATACATTGCGACAAATTAGGAATAATCGTATATAATAATTTAAATTTATCTTAACCCTCTTATTTACCAATGTTCTCTCCACTTTCGAATCGCACGATAGTGAGCTGTGGAGGGGCAGTGGTACGCAGTGCCGTATCATTCCCGTCATTAGCGCCAAATAGCAAATTCGAATTATACTTACCGCTAAACTTTCGAAATGTTTTATTTTAGTGCAAAACGTTAAAAATATTTTTGTTTATTTCAACACATTTACAAATACATTCGTAAACTTCATTTTTTTCATGATTTAACATTAAATTGTGCATTATACCTTTTTTTAAATGACTTTAATTCAATTTATAATTTTCATTTACCTACAAAAATTTACTTTAAAAAGTCCTAATTGTTATTCCAATCCTCATTGTTATTATTATTGCGAAATTTCATGAAACATTTAAACTTACAAAGCGCTACCAGACACTGCTTGTAATGCCATTTTGTTCGAATATTTAATCAACTGTCTGATCTTCTCTCTTCTTTATTATATTGTTTGCACAGCTTTGCTGTTCCACTGACCAAAACATGCTCTACATCAATCCTCGGTCGGATAATTTTTGACATTAGTCTCTTACGTGAACAAAAATTGCCAATGAGTTTTTTTTATTCATTGTTGCCGAAATTGTAGATGATTGAGTGATTTGGATCGATCTGGTGAATTTTCCAATGAGTACAATTCGAAGACATTTATGATACAAATATCAATCACGTAGTGAAATACGTATTTCCACCATTTTTTGCTAGGTCTTCCTACTTTGTAGTAAGAGCGTTTCTGATCGCTCAAGTCAACGCCACCTATTCCTCTTGTGTATTTTTCAACTGACAGTGGACATTTTACGATAATTTTTTCACTGTTTCTTTGTCGCCTTTCGGTTCGTATTACTTCTTTGGTCGGATCACAGTTTGTTGATAATATTAATACGTCTCGTTTGTCATACCAAACAGTGGCAATGAATTGGTTATGCTGCCTTTGCACGTAACTCACCTAGTTTAAGTTTCAATCCAACTGGTTTTTTAAATTCAGTAGGCCAATCTACTCTATTAGGCCGAACCGTACCACGTTCGTAAGTACCTTTATCCAGGAAGTTTCATAAAACGGACAGACGTAAAAAAATTATCAAAATAAACATAACGATTGTTCTAGGCAAAGATTTTGACAAGTCTAGCACAACTTGTTCACCGAGGAGATACTCTTTATTTATATTTTCCTTTTTGCCTAGATAAATTTTTGTCCGTAATACATACCCAAATAAGCTCTCTGCAATAGTCCACGCTTTTATCCCCCATTTGTCCGGTTTTGCAGGCATGTACTGTTTGATACTCAACCATCCTTTGAAAGTTATCATCGCTTCGTCAACCGACAAGTCACAGCCAGGTTGAAAGTATTCTATGAACTTATATTTGTTATGTCTAAATCTGTTTTTACCTTGTATCTATAAAATATCCGTCGTTGCTCTGTCATGCTCTTTGGCACGCTGTTTTTCATCACATAAGTGAATGTATTTACCAATTAACATAAATCTTTGGAATGTCATGGTTTTGGCCACGAGTCGGCACTGCACTATATCACTAAAAAAATACATTTGTATCTGAGGAAAATTGACGATACCTAAATAAATTAAGATACCAATATACGCCTGAATCTCTGTTGAAATAACTGGGTTCCATTTCTTATCAGCTCTATCAGCTATACGTTGTAAATAAATGCATGTTTATTGTTTCCATGGTTATGGCGATTTTCTCATAAAATTCTTTGTTAATAAATAATTAAAAATAATCTTTAGGTGTTGAACCTGCTGGTAAGTTATGCTTCGGTCCTCTTTATGGTAAAAAAGGTGCAATGTTGTAATTTTTTATTTTTGTGGCCCATAAAACAGAGTTCTTCGTTTTAGTAAGTATTTCTTCATCCTCTGACCCACGGATTTACCCACGGTAAATCAAATGTATCACTGTCCAATGATGATTGTTCATCATCTTCATCATTTGGTGTAATGTTTCTTCTTGAATTAATTGTCTTTGATTTGTCACGGCTGTCAGACGTGAAAGTTTGTTTACATTTTGAAGACTTTTGCGGAGAGATTCGATCTCTTTTTTTAGGCTCCACAAAATTATCACGTTTTATTGTTTTTGTACGACGAATTTTTCGACAATTTTTTCCATTTTCCGAATCATCATTTGTAAATGTTCTTTTATTATGTGGCGTAACACATCTGGTATGTTTGCAGGCTGTGTGTGAAACCAAATTAATATGTTATTTTCCTCTGAGTTTTTATTGCGGGTCCTCTTTTTTGTCGATGCATTTCCTTTCGCATTTTTCTTCCTTTTTTTATCTTTTTTTATCTACATAACACATCAACTACTTTTTCAACCTAAATACTCATAAATGAAAAAAAATAACGTTAGTATTACAATATTTATAATTACTCTTGACCGTGTATGTATACTTACCGTTGACAACCTAACCTCGAAAGTGTTAACTTTAAATTATTTTGTCTTTAAAAATGTGATATGCATTAACAAATAAAACATTATATTAACATTTACTTTTGTTCATTTTCCAAATTTTTACTGATTTTTTTCGCTGGTAAATCTTAATTGATACGGTATTAGTCCGAACATTGGTAGGGGACTCAACACACCACACATGCGCGCTGCACTCACATAGTTACACAAAGCCCTCCGATTGGCTGTTCCCCCACAAAGCTCACATCGATTCATTTCGAGCCTTTGGTTAATAAGAAGGTTAAATCTTGTAAACTGTAAAAACTTTTTTTTTGTAATTTTTGAAACGTATATATACATATATATCTATATATACACATAGTTGAATGGTTGAATTTTTCTATGCACGAATACTGTTAATACATAACTAAAAAAATTTATTATTTTTATTTCTTGCATTTCATACATATTTTCTTCAAATTCATAAGCACGCTTTATCATTCATTTAAATTATTAGTGTCTCAAGAAAAAAATTATACGTCTCACATTTACTCTAGTAAATATGCTTGTAGTCCGCATTTCCTGTGTTTTGATATTGAATCAATACAACAATTTAACTTTACTTGTACAGATACATCCTGAAACATTGGAAAGAAAGTCGGCTGCACTTGCATGCAAGAGATTCCTCGGAACCCACTGTTTTGATGCTATTGCAGATCTGTTGTCAAAAATTCATGTTTCATTCATGTTAACGCCTGAGACAATAAGAGCGACCGTTACCGATAACGGATCTAATTTCATTAAGGCTTTCAAAGAATTCGGTATTGTAATTCCGAATGACCCTTCTAGTAGTACACGGAGAAAATTTTATGTTAATTTATAATACAATTTTAAATTCATTTTACTGTTTTTTGTATTATCGGTGGACCATCATGACATTATAGAATAAATTATAGTACAACATAGTAAAATTTAAAACTTACCTAAAATGTTTAATCATTTGCCATAGTAAAAATTCGTAGGTGCAAAGTTATAATCTTCGTTATGTATTATTGTAAAATGTTGTAATTGTTTATAGAATAAATTATAGTACAACATAGCAAAATTTAAAACTTTCCTACAAATGTTTTATCATTTGCCATAGTAAAAATTCATAGGTGCAAAGTTATAATCAGAGACCGGATCGCGGTGCCGTTTCTCCTCCTTCAAGCGCGTGCTAGCGGCCGAGCGCCGTAAGAAGCAGTACCGTCTATGCCGCGCCAGTCTAGCGGTGTGACGTAGCAAAGAGGGCACCGTCACATAGAGTATAATAATATTTATACTCTATATGACGGTGCCCCCTTCGCCACGTCACACCGCTAGATCGGCGCGGCATAGACGGTACTGCTTCTTACGGCGCTCGGCTGCTAGCACGTGCTTGGAGGGGTGAAAACGGCACCGCGATCCGGTCTCTGGTCATAATTATCATTATGTATTATTGTAAAATGTTGTAATGGTAAATTTCATCTTTTATAATTTTGACAATGTATTTTTTATTTATTTATTTTTATTACTTTTTTCTCGAATTTTTCTCTCTTCCTTCTTTTCAAATATTTTATTTATTATATTAAATAGACAAAATAAATATACAATTTTACTTAATCTAATAAAAATTTATTTATACAAAATACAGGTAGAAAATAAAATTTATAGATTCACATTCATAATTCATAAACACCAAATTTTCATATATCTTATATCCAGAGTTTTGGTATATATTTGTTACCATTAGAAGATTTAATTTGGCATGTAATTATTACTGTATGTGAAAGTATTTGTTGCAATTGAATACAGTCTCTTTTAAAATCTTGACTATCAATTATTTCATAAGCTTCATAATGTTCATCGAAATAACATGATTTTAAATTTTCTGTTAATATTAATATATTCTCATCTGATTGCCAAATTAAATCTGTCACTTTGTGAAAGATAGGTCCATTTTCTGATGGAATCATAAGGATCGTATTGCGCTTTATGTAACAATTATCTCGTTTAATTCATTTTAAAGTCTGAATAATACCGAAACTTGAATCAATATTATGTGATAAATGTGAAATATTCGCAATATTATCAGTTTGTTTTGCACTTATCTCGTAAGGTGCACATGTTACTTTTTTTGTTAATAATCGGTGACTTAATTTTAATTGATGTCGCAATGCTACAGTGTAACAAATATTAACTCTGCTAATAGCAGAATGTGCAATAATTTTACCTTCTCGATGTTTGCTCTCAAAACGCATAGAACAAATGTTCCATAACGGAACTAATAATCTCATTCTTTCTGGATAGTGTATAGCAATATGATGTTTAAACTTTAGATTTTCCGAAAATAATTCAATACGTAAATGCAAATATTCTTCTATTTCTGCAGCTAATAAATCATGTTCATTAACATGAATTACTGTAGCAGTAACAATAGAAGTAATTCGTTTTAATACAAGGTATAGATTCCAATATTTGTTTTCTCTATCTATCAAATGACCAATTATAAGTCCTAAATAATTTACAAAGGTGAGCATTTCAGCGGATGACATTTGAAGGCGTTTATTTTTCAAATGGGTCTGACTAATTTTGACTGGTTTATTTTTTTCATTGTTATCAAAAGGAAAACATTCAATTAAAATATTTAATTGCGTCAAAGTAAATTTATGTTCAATATTAATAAAATGATTTATAAGAAGTGCACAATCGTAAGGCATTATCCCTTCTAAAAAGTCGTGTTGTACATCGACGCTCATATTTTGAAATAAATCATAACCTGGCACAGAATCGAAAACACATGATTCCTTCACTCCGCTTTTAGAAATATTACATTCTTTTACATGTACATTATGACTTTTATTATCTCTCAGTTTACAATCACGTTCATGTAATATTTTTTTAATATTACTTTGATGCGTTAAACAAAATCTGCAGAAGTAATTCGCGTGAAAAGACTCACTAAAACCAAGAATGCTATGTAGACCTAAGTTGTCACCAAGAATAAGTTCAAGAGAAAAATAAACTCGACTAGTTTGTCCATTATGATAAATTTCTATACCTTGTTGTTGTAACAAACAAAGCTCATCAACTGCTTTGTAAAAAATAGATGCATTAGTAAAAGTTTCTCTATCCAATGTATTGAATAAAATAAAAAGAAAAATATTGTCTAATTTTTTGTACGAAGTTCCGGAGGTAGGCAAAGCACACTCATGTATACAGCCCCACATTTGGCTACACCTTTGTGGCTACCCAAAGGATTGTTAGATTCGTAATCATCATAATATATAGCTACAGGAAATACAATTTTGTCACCGAATAAAATCTTTTTATTTTCCCAAAGAGATCCTTGCATGAAATTGTACTTTATTTTATTCGTATTGTCTTCAAGCTCTTTAATGTAATTCAGAGTACGAGAAAAAATGTCAGGAAGTTCAAAAAAAGCTTTCAAAACTTTAGAAATTGGAATAAACTGAACAGATACCGGAATAGTTTTATAAATTACAGTGTCATTTTGCAGCTGATACTCTTTTCGTTCTCCAATTTTGCAAGTTTCAGGTAATATAAATGTATTAGTTTTTTCAAATTCTTTAAAACATTGTCGTTCAGTTTCATACGTCTCTAAAGACGTAGTAAATTTTTTAACAGTATTCAGTATAGATTGAAGCTTTTCTGATGAAACATTTTCTATTAGCAATTGTTCGTGAAGATAATTTTGTAATATCCCAAATGAAAATTTAAATAATTTTGAAAAGTGTATTATTATTTCCATAACTTTTATTCATAGAATTTCGGACATATCGTATAATCTTGAAAAAAATATTAATAATTCTAATTCGTACGATTTCATATTCTCTGGAAGCTTAGTTAATGCAGACTGTTCATTTAGAAATTCCGTCATTGTTAAACCTGGTTGATTTGACATTTGAATAGTAATATCATTAGATAATTCATTATGTTCTTCATTTGAAAATTCATTTAGATCAATGTTCACTTCATCTGTTGCAATTTCGTTACAAAAATTTGTGTTTTTTGTGTCATCAAAAACATTGGATAGAGAATTATTAGTACTAAAGTCGCGACTTTTAGAAATTGATTTTATCTTCCGAGAAATTGGATATTTTTGTGGCGAATGAACATTATAACGATGTCTTTTAAAGGATCTAAATAGCGAATAAGCTCTTGAACAAAATTCTTCTGCGCACCGAAAAACTTTTTCTTCTGAGTGAACCAACTGAATATGACGTATTAATTCGGTATTATGCGCAAAATCCAACTTACAAATAAAGCAAAGCATTTTGTTTTACTGAAACCGTTTCAGTTTTCAAAATAAAAATATGTTGTTATCTACTGGTATTATTGTGTATTAATGATTTCACAAATTTCACCTATAATTGCTCGCAAAGCTATTGGAACAGTATCCCCGCGGTTTTTAATATTATAATAACCTTGTTGAAGAAACATCCACAAAGAATATGCATTTGGTGGATATTCGCAGTCGAGAGCAAAACAAATTTTGAAGGCAAAATCTATCGCACGTAGACACGAACCTGTGTTTGAAACAGTGTAGACTCTATTATTTAAAATAATATATGACGCCGTATTTCCAAGGATAGGTCCAACAGGAACTGGTTGTTGAGCAAGAATACTTCCAACTTTACGTGTAGTTAAATTCAATATAGTTTCTAAGGTACCAGCAGACTATTAACAAAAAAAATATAAAAATATTAATTTTTTAAAATAAAAATGGTAAAAGGAAAATAAATTAATATAAAATTTTATAGAAAATAACTTACTTCCAAATGAATAAGAAATGAATTTCGTCGTTCTTCAAATGATCGTTTGCCTAAAGTTGTATCAGGATTATTCTCAATATTTTTAGATTTTCTCTTTCTTCGTGATCCAGCAGGAATTAAATACGGCAACAAATAAAACAAAATTGTATCTTGACAATTTGCAATAAACAATCAATTTCAATTTTGCTCGAAGTTGTAAAAAAATATTTGGAGTAATTTAGTAAAAATAAAATTGAAAACAAACCAGGTGACAATGTTGATAGAAAATGGACAAGACCTTTATCTTCTGCATTTGTTATTTTTAATGTTGACAGTTTTTTTATTAGTTCGAGTGCGGGCGCACTACGATGCAGCACAATGTTCGTCGATAGTTCAGAAGGCAACGGCACGAGAGCGTGCACACTACGACGTAGCACAATGTCCGCCGATA